TCCAAATTAGTTTTAATGGTAGCCAATCATTAAAAAGCATTAAGAACAATAATATATACTCTACATAAAATAATAAATCTTGAAAGTATAAAAATCATAAAACTCTATTAAATTGATCATGCTACATCGTAACCTTAGATGACAAATCAGTTCATAATTAAAGAAAAGAGAATCAACAATCTCATGATGAATATACGAGTATCCAACATCATGAAATAAAATTTGAGGACAAGCAAAACCAATTTGACGATATAAATCCCAAGCCTTGATCTTCTTTTGTTGTTGAATTCCTCTTAACCGTCTCTCTTGGTCTCCTCTCAAAAGCCCTCAAACTGATTTTTTGAATGGGTATTTATAGAGTTTAAGAAACCCTACTAGAAGAGAAATAGGACTCGAAAAAATAGGAAATTGGGATTTTTGGATGCTAAACGCATAGTACCAAGAAACCCTACTAGAAGAGAAATAGGACTCGAAAAAATAGGAAATTGGGATTTTTGGATGCTAAACGCATAGTACCAACACCCTTAATTACGTGTCGACACAGAACAAGAAACAGAATATGTAATTCTATTCGCTTGACGTATAGTGTCGGCACCCTGATTATGTGTCGACACCACACTCGTGTCGGGTTTTTGGCCTCGGCTTGCAATTTCTTCAATGGTAAAATTTCAAATATGATCCTCCAAGTTTTGCACGATGAGCACTGAGATATCGAAACTTAAGATTCTTTCATTTAGGTCCCAAAGAACCCTCAACTTCCAGAAGATGTTCAATTAATTCCAAAAACTCCTATTATTATGCATCCAAATCCTTTTCTACACTAAGAATGAAACCCATGTAAAATCTCATAAAATTTTTTCAAATATTAATAATGTCAAGGCAAAAATTCAATATTAATATGTATATAAATTCAACTCATCATGCTTCAACACCTAAAATTCTCGAGGATGTTTGCTTGGGGAAAACACTCTGACGCTCAAGTTAGCAATATTCAATATTCTAGAGAGAGATGCTCTTAAAGAGTAATTGCAGAGAGAGAAACATAGTGGAGTTAATACCTTGCATGGAGGTAGTTGGTGGTATTTATAGCCCCATATACTGACATGAGTCCAGATATGTATGCATCCAATTGGCCCACGTGTTACTGCCCACGTGAGTGTGTCTTCTCATCTTGGACTTGTGAGCATGCAACTAGGCCTATTATGTTGGGCCTAATCCCAACAGTTTGTTTCTTTTGTCCTCTTGTTTCTGTTATTTGCTTTCATGATGTTAAGCTTGCATATGTTCATCTGAAAATGAATGAGAATCTAAGTTTAACTAAGTTATTGTGTTTGATGAATTTGCTCTTTCTTTGCTGTTAGTGGATGTGATTTTCTCATGATAAACATGATCTTCCTTTTAAGGTGATGAACCTTAATTGCAAGTTTCCTTTGCCATGTTTGATCTGTTTTGCTTTATTTTTAGCAATAGGTCATGTTTCTGGGTCAGATGAACCTGACCAATCCAATGAAAAAAAACAAAAAACAAAAAAGGTTAAAAATAAAAAATATATAAATATATATAAAATTATTAATTAATTAAATGAGTTAATTTAATTTATGATTAATGAAGTCAATTAATCGTAATTAAAATAAATTAATCACATTTATTGAGTTTGATTTGAGATAATTAAATTTATTTAGTTATCTTAATTAATGATTAGTAAATGTGATTAATTAATTTTAATTAATTGGCCAAAGGGGCTA